TTCATTGTACAGCATTAATGTGTTTGAAAAGTGTTGTGGCCACAACACTTTTCAAACACATTAACGCTGTACAATGAATTACAACACTTTGCAAACACATTAATGCTGTACAATGAATTCATTGTACAGCGTTAATGTGTTTGAAAAGTGTTGTGGTTCATTGTACAGCGTTAATGTGTTTGAAAAGTGTTGTGATTCATTGTACAGCATTAATGTGTTTGAAAAGTGTTGTGATTCATTGTACAGCATTAATGTGTTTGAAAAGTGTTGTGGTTCGTTGGTAGTTGCGCTTCAATACAATTAGCCAAAAAAGCAATACTTGGAGACTGTATACGTTCAGGTATTTGCGATTTATGTAAGGGATACCCACAAATTATGTTCACAAAATTACTTCCGCACGTTTCAAAGATGGGAGACTTGAATATCTGTTACAATTACTTGTAGAGTTGTATTAGATCGAACGGATGTTCAATGGAGGGCCTGACTGTAGTTTCAACACATTCAGAAATAAATGTTGATCAATTTGTTAACGTGATTTTCGGACACACTGTTCATATTAAATATGTGTTGTTTTTTTTACCGAATATTAATAAATAACAATGGGTTATAAGGTAGGCTTCCTCTTGTAGACTTGCATACCCAACCCTACCGACAAGGTCACATAATTTGTTTATTTAATTGCACCTCGAATTCATAAACGTATCACAAAACTTTAATTTCGCACATCATCCTATCGTCACGACTTTCACAAAGTTTCAATTTTTGGAAGAATAACTGGTGAAAATGTGCTGTAATAATAATATTATTATTAAACTTCGTGTTTACGGTCTTAAGATTTTGTGTCTGTACATCCACATTATTCGTACAGAATAGGATTAGGGCAACTAAACAGGTTTCTACCGTGCTTAAGGCTCATCTATATGTGATGATGTAAGATAGATCTGATCTCATTAGTGTATATACCGATTTACAGTTTTTATTGATATCGTAAAAGTAGTTAGTAAATTGAAGGTTACTAAAGTTTAAATTAATATCAACGGTACCTAAACAAGATTACTATGAGTAAATTCCCTCTACCAGTTTCACACTACTGTTACTGAAGTGACATGGACACTTCATCTGGTTTCTTTCAGTGGGTCTGCACGATAGTGTTCAGGACACATCTAAGTACATTTTTAAATTTCTGGTTTCAACGAATATAATTAAACCTAAATTGTTGATGTCACTAAACTCAACGAAGTCCACGTTTCAACTTGCGGCCGTAATATTTTAAGGCTTAAACAGGGTTTAGAAACTGTTAGAGGCTGATCTCATTAATTGTTTGTTTTGTTTTGAAACGTCGAAACAAGACCTCTTTTACGTAACGCATCTTTAAAGTTTGAAATAATAAAGTCGGTGAGGGTACTTCACATTACTAAGTGGTTAACTATGATTTATATTACATATCTGTTTATGTGGTAATCTACAAGATTTATAAAATTCACATTACTAGGTGGTTAACTATGATTTATATTATATATCTGTTTATGTGGTAATCTACAAGATTTATAAAATTTACATTACTAGGTGGTTAACTATGATTTATATTACATATCTGTTTACGTGGTAATCTACAAGATTTATAAAATTCACATTACTAGGTGGTCAACTATGATTTATATTACATATCTGTTTATGTGGTAATCTACAAGATTTATACAAGAGAATAGAGCTACAGTTGGAAGCGAAAACCTAAAACGAGAAACTACTTTAGAGATGAAAAAAAATGTTTGAAGTTATAAGAACGTTTGAGAAAAAATAAGATAAAAAGAATGATATGAAAATGCAAAATGTGTGACAAAGATACTGACAACTGTGGGGAAATGATCTGAAAAAGGAATTGACAGCAAAGAATGTTAAAAAAAACGAGAAAAGGCGACAAAAAGTGGATCATTGTGTCTATATTAATGTGTACTGTCAAAATTTACTGTAGCGAATAACTGAGACAGCAGAGTTATCAATAATACACAGAAAGAGTGAAAGTCAATTTGTGTCTTATATTAATGTGCACTGTTAAAACTTACTGTGTTTGACAACTGAAACAGTAGAGTTGTCAACAATACATAGTAATTTAAAAGGTAGCGACAGTAAAATTAAAGTTTCTGAAAAACAGGGAGTGATCTTGACACTGCTGTTTTAAAATGAGTTAAAAGTAGAGCAAAATTACTGTGATTATAGTTATATTTTTAAAGTGGTTCCACTGAGAAAATACATTTTATTCCAACAATGTGGTTGGAAATACTGCAGAGTTTTTTTTAGTGAAAATGGTGTATTTATTACCCATAATTCCGTAAGACAAAAATTTAAGTCACGGATTTGCGAAGTTAAAATTTATAGTGTTTTAATTCCGAGACGTACATGGCCTAGTGGTTAGGGCGCTCGACTCGCAATCTGAGGATGGCGAGTTCTAATCCCCGTCACCGTGAGGATCGCGATTTCTAATCCCTCTCACCGAACATGCTCGTCGTTTCAGCAGTAGGGGCGTTTATGATGTGACGGTCAATTCTACTATTCGTTGGTAAAAGAGTAGTCCAAGAGTTAGCGGTGAGTGACGTTGACTAGCTGCCTTCCCTTTAGTCTATTACTGCTAAAGTAAGGATGGCTAGCGCAGATAGCTCTCGAGCAGTTTTGCGCGAAATTCAAAACCAAACCGAGGAGTAGTGTGATACGACCCCTATTTTAGCCAAAGATAACAAACTTAGATTAAATGTAAATGTTAGTTATCCTTCATGGCTGAAACTTTATCAATTAATGATAATAATTATTGTTCGTTGATCCATGTTTAGGTATTTACAAACAGCATACTAGTTTCTATTTTTATTCTTATTTTTTTTACTGTTCAGAATTAACGTAGTGTTTCTTTTTAAGAAACGTATGATTTTCACATAAGGCTATTGTATAAGTTTCATAACGAAATGTTCACAATAACCACTTAAAACAATTCCCAAACGTTTGAAGAAAACTTCTGAAAATATCACAGAAAGACCAATAAGATAAGAACTATAATAATTATTATAAAAGGCGTCTATTTTTATAAATAATTTGTCTGTAAACTTATGACTGACTATATTAAATAGTTAAACATGAATTATGCTCACTTATTCCTTTATTTAAAGGTATAGTTAAGACAGTTTAATAATAAAATTATTCTAACTCACAATGTATCTAACATTGCAGTGTTACGTTTTATAATAAAACTAACAGAGACCCGCAAAACAGTTGCGGTCAAATTAGTATCTTTATTACAACAGTACTTCTTCAAATATAGGATTTCTAGAATGATACAAAATAATTCTAATCGTAGACACCGAAATCCACTTGTCTTAGGCCTAACATTAGTTAAGCATTTATTATGTATGGCCTATATTCGATAAAAGAGATAAATTAACACTGTAACTTGTGTACTTTACTTGCTTCAGTTTAGTTATGGCTAAACTTTACCGTACTTAATACAATCAATAAAGAAACTTATAATGTTATTCTATGAATTAATGTTAGACCTGTTTAAAAACTTTGATGATCTTATAATAACATAACATAATGTTTATGGATAACAAGGGACCTATTCGTCTATCTCGGATGTCCCATCTAAACTAAACTAGCACTATTAAATAAGTAAATCTAAAAAAATTCTTAAAGCCAGCCCTTATCATTCATATAATTATCAAGCTTTCTCTTAAACCCAGTTCAATTTGCTGTCTCCACAACATCTAAAGGCAACCCAATCCAGAGGCCAACCACCCTGTTAGAAAAAGAAAACTGTCTTAGCTGAAGATGACTCCTACCCTACCAAAATTTACATTTGTGTTCTCTAGTTCTACTAATCTCGCTGTTAAATAAGGAAAAAGATAATGTATCAACACTATCAATTCCCTTAACAATCTTAAATACCTCAATGAGATCCCCACTAAATCTTCTTTTTTCAAGATAAAGCAGTTTCAGAGATCTTAACCTCTCCTCATATGACAACCCTTCCATCCCAGGCATCATTCTAGTAGCCCTCCTCTGAACCCTTTCCCACAATTCAATGTCCTTCCTAAGGTGTGAAGCCCAAGACTGAACACAATACTCTAAATGTGGCCTAACCAGTAACCTATGCAACGAAATTATAACATATTTAGACTTGTATTCAATATTTCTGTAGAAACAACCTAAAATCCTATTTGCTCTAGCAACTCCGCACTGCTTTGATGGCTTAAGAGATTGATCACCAAGATCCCTTTCTTTCATGGCATTATTAAGGTTAGTCCCATCCAAACTATGCTTATAATTCAGATTATGATAATCTACAAGTATTATCTTGAATTTATTATAATTAAAAGCCATCTGCCATTTATTTGTGGTCGTTGGTGATTTAAATAAGTTTTGGAACTTTCTGTAATGTGTTTGTTTTAGAGCAAAGCCATATTAGGCTATCTGTTGTGTCAACCGCGGGGTATCAAACTCGTGATTTTAGTGTTGTAACTACGTAGACTTATTGCTTCCCCCCTAGAGGACTTCTTTATTGTGAATAGTTACTTTGTAAAGGGTCATTTTCAAAAGAAAATTAGCGCGCTTATAAAATTACTGATATCCCATCATTTTGTCTGTTTTAATAACTTTTCGTGGTTCACCTTCTGTGTTGCTTTATATCAACAAAAAGCTTCGTTTTAGTTACACGTGTAAGTTTGGTGTTTGATGTAGGAAAAACGATCAATTCTCTTTATGTAAACCGAATTAATGACTGCTGCACAAAATGTCTGTGATGTATTAACAAGAAACTCACTAATTGCAAATATCACTTGTTTTTTTCTAAACAGGCAATAAAAAGCTTCTCCATTCGTCCTGGAAAACAACATATAACTTTCGCCTTTCCTTTCATGGAAGACATAATCCAAAACTTCTGTGAGGGAAACAGAATTTCGGAAGTAGGCGGAGTTCCGGAAAAACCACGCTACATCACTTCCGGTTTTTTCTTTGATCAAGGATTGGAAATCATTCAGGGATTTCAGACTTACGTGACTCTTGTCCCTTATGTCAACAGGTAAGGTTCAATTACAAAACAATACACCAGAGAAAGTTTGTTTATATTTCTGTGACATAATCCATTGTAATTTATCGGGTAATATATTGACATATATATATGTATATAACTAAAAGTCATTGCTACTTCTTATACAGGCCAAGTGGTTAGGGTTCTCGACTTGCAATCTATGGGTCGCGGGTTCGAATTCCCGTCACACCAAACATGCTCGCCCTTTCAGCCGTGGGGGCGTTATAACGTGACGGTCAATCCCACTATTCGTTGGTAAAAGAGTAGCCCAAGAATTGGCGGTGAGTGGTGATGACTAGCTGTCTTCCTTATAGTCTTACGCTGCTAAATTAGGAACGGTTAGCGCAGATAGTCCTCGTGTAGTTTTGCGCGAAATTCATAACAAACCAAACTTTATACAAGCGTTTTGTTCGTTTAATTCATAAGAATCCCATGACTTCATCTTATTTTTTTTTTACCTCATTGAAGGTTGGCATTTAGGCTTAACTATTTTCTACAACAGTAGCTCTTTTGTTTTTATTATTTAATATTAAATTATATTTCTATAATAATTTGCAATTTTTAGTTTTTAGGGCCAATATTTAGTTTTCCCTGAGACTGGCTATACTAATTTCTATGCAACTCTGACGTAGTATTTCATCGGAATGCAAAACTAAAAACGAGGACTTTGATTCAGGACCAACTGTGGATCAGTTATATACATTTACGTTTAGTAAATTACTTTGGTATTACTTCGACATCTTTTTTTTTATTTCGTTTGTTCTTTGTAATTCTAGAATATATATATTTCTTATGGTGAATTCGTGATTTTGTTAGAATATTATAACTAAAGTAACTGGTTAAAAGAGATTATGAAGATTAACTGGTTGGATCGCACAAAGTTTGTTTGTTTGTACTAAGAATCACAGGAAAAATTATCAATGGCATTCAGTACGTAGAATTATACACGGACTTTTTTTCTACGTTAACGTTTGTTTGTTTGAAGTTAAACACAAAGCTACACAAAGGGCTATCTGTGCTCTGCCCACTACGGGTATCAAAACATGATTTCTAGCGTTGTAAGTCCGCTGACATACTGCTATACCACTGTGGCGCCGCACAAGTAAAAAAAAAAAAGCACAAGTTGTATAGATGGAGATACTGTGGGCATGCTCTAAGAATGAAGGAGAACAGATTGCCAAGACAAGCGATGGGCTGGAAGTCAATTGGAGGAAGACCGAACAATCCTTGGCGCACAACAATAGAGAGGGATTCTTTGATAGATTGTTAGGCAGAGTATTCATGATGAAACTTAGTTGAACAGTTTTATATCTGCTTGCAACATGTGTTTAACGAGAACATAGAGCAGAATAAAAATGATGCTCTAGGACAATATACTGTAAAACTAGGAGATGACCAATCATATCAGTTTTTACAAAACTGAATCATCTCCTATACAGAAATTTCGCTTAAGGTCAGTTTGTAGTCAAAAAAGCAATTCATATTGTAGCATTTTGTCTTTCCTTGCAAAATATACATAATATCATATTGTAGCATTTTGTCTTTCCTTGCAAAATATACATAATAATTTATTTTCCTTTTACGTAAAGTAACACTATATCACGCAATATATTTATCGTGTCCCCCCTCTCCCCAGTGGCTCAGCGGTAAGTGCGTAAAATAACATTATATCACGCAATATATTTATCGTGTCCCCCCCCTCTCCCCAGTGGCTCAGCGGTGAGTGCGTAAAATAACGCTATATCACGCAATATATTTATCGTGTCTCCCCCTCTCCCCAATGGCTCAGCGGCAAGTGCGTAAAATAACGCTATATCACGCAATATATTTATCGTGTCCCCCCTCCCCCCAGTGGCTCAGCGGTAAGTGTACGGGTTCACATACCGGGCTAATACAACAATATTAAAGACGCTAGTAAAAACATACTTCGTACTTATTTGTCCTCCTGTCACTTTAAAGCCTATAATTTCATGTTCTTGCAAACAAATATAATATTTATTAAAGAAAAAAAAAAGACACAAACAAGTAAAACGAGTTTTTTTAAAGTCAGATTTGCAGTGTGTGCGGAGTTTAATGTCATATCTGCACAACGAGCTATCTGCGCTGTGCTCACCACAGGGATCGAACCCCCAAATTTCAGCATTGTAAGCCCTCAAATTTAGCGATGATTCTCCTACCATTAGAGAAATGACGTAAAATAAATCCTTGCACTAACAGTGGCCAATATCTAGGATGCTAGGATGTTAATAAATGACAATAAAAGTTAAACTATTCTTATTACAACGTAAGCATGTTTTTTTTCTTGATAGCCATATAAATGTATATTTACTTTAATTAGATAGCTTGATTAGTGTTTACGCAAATAACTGTTTTGTGATAATACTGAGTTAATAGATTTATACTGGTTTTGCTCTGATGTTTCTTGCTTTCCACCATTTTGTTTTAAAGCACGGGATTTAGTTGATGATGCACATAAACGTAATGTTATTATTAACAAATATTTTTATTTGTTTGCCAGAGAGAGTTTTCCTGTTGTTTTACTCACTCTTTACCAACGAGAAACGACAGAAGGTATCTGTCGCCATTTTCAAAGTTTGATAAGGACGTTGTTGAAACGACAGCTACCGGCGGGCTTGTGGAAAATTTCGGTGAGTAGCCAATCAGTTCAGCCAGATTTAAGTACGTTTTTTGTTGGTTTAAGTAATGATATTTTTCCTCCCCCAAAAGGACGATTTCGTTGGATTTTACTTTAAGAAATTTTTCATTTTGTTCACTTAAAATAAAAAAACTGCGATTGCTTTACTAATGTGTTATTCAGGAAAATTAAAAAAACATAGAGGATAATGAAATTATGTCAAAAAAGTCGAAATAAAAAGAATAATAAAATACCAGCAATTAGGAGAAGATGAGGAGAGAGGTTCACAAAATGTAAAAACTGAACAAATATATATATTTATTTACTAACTATTACCATAGTGAAAAACACCACTAACGAAAAATTGAAACTGAAATACAAACAAAGAAAAGAGAGGTAATTATAGTTATACTATAAGGAAAATTTTATGAGAGCTGAGACACAGAAAATTAGGTTAAATAAAAGAAAAGTGGACAGAATTTTGATGGGATTTTCACGTTCGTAAAATTTATGCTTTGTTAGGAGACCATTGTACATTATATACATTGTTTATGCTTTGCTAGGAGACCATCGTACGTTATATACTTATATACGTTATATGCATTGTTCATGCTTTGCTAGGAGACCATTGTACGTTATATACATTGTTTATGCTTTGCTAGGAGACCATTGTACATTATATACATTGTTTATGCTTTGCTTGGAAACCATCGTACGTTATATACATTGTTTATGCTTTGCTTGGAAACCATCGTACGTTATATGCATTGTTCATGCTTTGCTAGGAGATCATCGTACGTTATATACATTGTTTATGCTTTGCTAGGAGACCATTGTACGTTATATACATTGTTTATGCTTTGCTAGGAGACCATCGTACGTTATATACATTGTTTACATCAAGTTTGTTAGGAGGTGCTGTGGTTTTTCTAACAATGGACACTAAATTGCTATTTACACCATGGTGTTATTTCTGTAATAGGTACAAATAAGGTACTACTGAAATATCTTTGCCCATAAAATAATACGAAATAATTTTTTAGTCTCTTAAACGTTATACCGTATTTAATACTTATCATAATTTACATTTAATCTTGGGGAAAAAAATCTAAAAACTACGTACTTTGTTTGTTGTTAAGCACATCTGCTTTCTGTGTTATGGCTACTGTAGGTATCGAAACCCAGTTTTTAGCGTTATAAGTCTTCAGACTTGCCGCTGAACCACAGGAAAAACTGAACACTTAACGATCAAATCCTCAATGCTGGTCTATCGCCGAATTGTTTTTAGTGTTTAGAAAATTAAGACTAAAATTTTACCGCTTCTCAGGACTACGTCTAGTCCACAGTCTTTTAGATTTAATTACACGGTGTAACCGATACGTTGTAATTTAAGGTAGTTAACTTAAAACGTTACTCAAAAAAATGCAGTTTGTTCTCTGACAGTAATGAAGATGTATAACAAGTTACAACTTTAATTACGCCGTACACTATTATAAGTGATTATAATTAGTGCGCCTAATTCAGTACAGGAATTTCTAAATTTGTTTTTATGGAATAGGAGCCTGGAATGGATGGATAATCGATAACTTTCGATGATTAAATAAACAATCTTCCGTACAGACACATATATAGATGGATGGATGAGGGGATTGTTAGATATACAGATAGATAAATGAAAACAAAACAAAACAAGACAGCCTTAAAGTTTATAGTAAATGTGGATCATTTCTTTGGGAATTATACTTTATTCAAGCATAGAAAATTCTTGCTTCCAAAACACTACGCGATTTTTGTTTTGTTTAATGATTGTTTGTCTGTTTATGTTAGAGCAAAGCCACAATGGGCTTATCTGTTGTGTCCACTGAGGGTAACTAGCGTATGATTTGTATAATGAAGAAAAAGTGTATTTTAAGATGAAGCTTCACTTAATATTACCAATCTCTTGGCTCTAATTAGCGAGCGAGTACCTCATAGAGCTCCAGGATATTTAGATTAAATCCGATCTATTAGTGCTTTAATAAAGCTCCAGGATATTTAGATTAAATCCGATGTGTTAGTTCTTGAATAGAGCTCTAGGGTATTTGGATTGCATCCGATGTATTAGTGCTTGAATAGAGCTCTAGGATATTTAGATTGCATCCGATGTGTTAGTTCTTGAATAGAGCTCTAGGGTATTTGGATTGCATCCGATGTATTAGTGCTTAGGGCTTGAGTAGAGCTCTAGGATATTTAGATTGCATCCGATGTATTAGTGCTTAGTGCTTGAGACTAAAAAAAACGAGACGAAACAAAACCTGTTGAACATCATTTTTTCATTAAGAAATGTCTTCAAAAAGTCAGCTAATATTATAGAAGGTTTCAACTACAAACACTAATATGTATGAATAATTCTTATTATGTTATTATTCAAAATTCTTCACGTTTTAACCTTCATTTTCTATGATAAAGCTTTTTTTTGCAAATAATAAAAGACCATTTTTATTGGTTTCTGAAAGAAGAAATTGAGTAGGAGTACCACGCGAAAGTTCTATGTGTGACATATTTAAATAATAACGAGTGTAATATGCACGTGAATAACATGGAGATAATACTCGCATGTTACGCATCATGTGCACGAAATTTCAAGAGGATTGCTGTTAAATTGTAAGCAGTTGGTCACGTACCTATGTTTTCTAATATTTCTTAGAGTTACGTGCGAAACTTTTTTTTTTTAAATTAAGCACAAAGCTACACAATGGGCTATATATGCTCTGCCCACCACGGGTATCGAAACCCGGATTCTAGCGTTATAAGTTCGCAAACATACCGCTGTGCCACTGAGGGGCACGTGCGAAACTAAGTTTCCTTATAGCAGATGATTTTACGACGATTTTCCTTTTCATTAGCCTATTAATGTTTTATTAGCTGGTCAGAGAAAGATGTAAAACCCTCACTATACCTAGCGCAAGTAGAGCAAGTTATGTAAATGTATTCATAATTAAATCTTAGTACGACGATTTTCCTTTTCATTAGCCTATTAATGTTTTATTAGCTGGTCAGAGAAAGATGTAAAACCCTCACTATACCTAGCGCAAGTAGAGCAAGTTATGTAAATGTATTCATAATTAAATCTTAGTACGTTTTTCGTACAGTACTGCACATCATGGACAGTGGGCAAGTGACCCTTTTAAAGAATTACAAAGAGTACTGGTGAGAATACGAAAATCCATTCAGGACAAACCTAAATTATTTATATTAGACGAACGCCAACCTTTTCAAATGTTTACATCATATCTTTTTTAAAAGTTAATCAGTGTATTAATGTATTGTGTCTTCTAGCAATACCAAAAAATACCGTAAAACTTAGAAGCGATCAGGTAATCAATGTATTAATGTATTGTGTCTTCTAGCAAAACCAAAAAATACCATAAAATTTATAAATGATCAGGTAATCAGTGTATTAATGTATTGTGTCTTCTAGCAAAATAAAAAATACAGTATAAAAAACTGTTAGTATAATGTTGGAAGGTTTTCAAGTTAAGAAATGATAATATTTTCTATTTCAGAATATATTTCTATATGAAGCCATATAATGTATTTTTCAAGTCTGGTTGGTTTCGTGCGATTGATATATTTTTATCTCCTTTTTGAATATTTAGAAATAGTTAGATGTTATATACTTCCGAATTTTTGTTTTTTATATAGTGGTTGAGTATGTTGAATTAAAACAAATGCGGGATGTCTCACCACGTTGTGACTGTCCAAGTTGCCATGTCCGGTCATACTCTGCCTGATGACCGCGCATCTTAACGTTAGCTCTGCAGCATAGTTTCTTTCACAAAAGGCTCCGTCGTAGGTCTGTTATGTCCAAAGCGCACCACACTTCCTTGCCTAGTTTCCACAATCCGTATCGTGTACAATGGCGACGTTTTCTAAGTACTAGTTTCAATAGTTTTATCGCATAAAAATCCAAAGGCGCTGCATCGGGAGATTTCACCGATATGTTTTTGTATGAAATAATATGAATACGTTTTTCATTCTCCAGCTGCTTAAGGCATGTGACGGTTGAACGGGTGGTACGGCTGGAAGACTTATTTCGGTGAACCAGTATTCTGCTGTCCTCGTGTCAACACAGAGATCCTTCTTGATTATGTTACTTGCTGTTGCATGGGGTGATCCTTCCTGATTATGTTGTCTACTGTTATTTGGTAAACGTAAATGGCTTTTGTTACTGACTTTTCTGATTATGTATTCTTAACTGTCAGATGATGCTGCACTTTTGCAACTTTTCGTATTGCGGCTAGCTGAGGTACGACTTGTTGGAGGTCTCTTTCTGGATTGTCCTTGGGTACCAAGCTGATTCACGTTCCTTTGTTTTCTAATGCCATTAAAAAAATTCCATCTTGATAATTCTAAGTCACCTACCCGAAAACAGGTCTATGATCTGAATGTGTTAATGTTTTACGTCGTAAGAGGTGTTAAATATCATTCCCAAAAAGAGATCAATTTTCTTTGCCATCACTCTACACCAAGACGTAGTTCTGATAAATGCTGTTCCAATGCGATTTTATATCAGTTGTGATTGTGACGTTACATACTGATTTGGATATTCAAAATCACTTTAATATGACGTACTCAACCCTCTGAACACGTGATAGTACACCAGAAGCATGTTATTAGAATTACTATATAGTTATCTGAAAGGAACGACGTTATTCAAACGATAAAATGGAAATAATACCTTCCACCTACACTAAATATTTCATAGTAGAATTATAATACCAAATGTTAATAATTGTTCAAAAAAGTGAAATTTAAATATTAAAGGGGAGTTGATAAATGCACAAAAGAAAGTAATTCACAGTATCACACTATAAAAATATTTGTATTCACTTGGTCTATAACGATTTATTTGCACATATATATTTGCCATATTCTATCATATACATCTATTATACAGCCAATTGTACAGCCTTTCCTAGTGTTTGGAGAATACAAGGATAACCGCTTAGCAGGACTTTTCCTTGTATTCGA